ATGACTATCACGTTGAGTTTTTTTAGGGTGATTGTGGTCAATATTTTTTTTTGGCTACGCAGCTTCATAATTCAGAAGCTATATTCTCTGGTGGATCAGACTTCTTTACCTGACAATCCGGATTCTTTGCAAAATCAGGAAATTTTAGTCCCAGGTCACGTTATAACTATTTACCTCAAGGTATATCATTATTTTCCCATATGGTAGAAACATCTATGTCGAGGCTCTTTATATAAGAGCATGTGATTTTGTCATTATCAATGTTTCTAAAAGTCTACGATTCTATTTGGCATAACCATGAATTGTTGTGTTTACTAGACAAAGGTTTTCCTTCATCAAGGAGTTAATTGACGTCACATGCATTGTTTATCTAGGAAAAACTTGAAGATTGGCTGCGGAAGTGCAAAAGTCTTCTTAAAGATGAGTTGCTTAACACGAGCTCGAAATTTTCCTTTGAAAGCCGTAAGTCCTTTTGATTTTGTTTTCACTGTTCAATGTTCTTATCTTCTGCATTCCTTAAAAGTTGAAACTATATGAAACTCATTTTTTTGTATATCCCCATATATTTTCTGCATGATATTTGCTTGTTCTCTTCCACAAATATTTTGTTAAGTCAATATCATGTTCTCGGTGATGATCCCTTAATTGAATGCAGTTGCTGATGTCAAGAAGCTTATTAACAAAAATCCTCCCAAGAGTATTGGCACGTCAATTGAAACATTGTTGAAGACAGGAGCGTTGAAAACACAGTCTGGTTTGGATTTACAGCAGGTAAGCACTTGAGTTGGTCGCTTGCTTGGGAAGCTTTAATCTTATGTGGAAGTCCATTAAGTATGATGTAGTTTGAGAGAACAGTACTAACATATTTTTTCAATTCTTTATCAGAGAGCAGGTTACACTGTTCAGGCTGAGAGATTGAACTTTCTCCGTTTCCTTTCATTTTTCCGGGCGGTTCATCGAGGTGCTTCTTTTGCTGGGCTTCGTACAACAACTGTGAGGAAGCTGCTTCCTGAGTAGGTTCTTTCACATTTTACTTATCAAACACTAGATGTGATGATGCGGTCCCAAAATAGCAGTCTTCACATTTTTCCTGTTTTATTTATCTTGTAGATCTTGGGGTTTTCTTTGCCCTGTTCACACTCCTGATGGAACACCTTGTGGATTACTTAATCATATGACTTGTACTAGCCGTGAGTTTCTCTAGCTCTCATCTTCACACATCATTTTGTGATATTCAGTACGACATCTTAAATTGAGCAACACTATTCTGTTAACTTGACATTTGGTTCGACCAAGTTGGAGTTTACATAGTTTATTTAAGCTCTAATCAGGTTTTGTTAAGAGTGTGTTATATTTCTCAAGGTAAATTATTTTAGACTAGAGTTTCAAACTATATAGTTATTTTAGATCATGTTTTTGATTCGTTTCTCTATGTCCCCATATATCTATAGTTTTTTTGTGGATGCAATTAATATGCATAAATTTATAGATCTGGTCGTTTTGTACCACAATAGGATTGTCACTTTGTCATACCATAAAAGATGTCACTTGGTGTTTTTCCAGTGTTCTGATTGGTCATGGTGTTTTCAGGAATCACTTCTCAGTTCGATTCCAAAGGAAACATCAGAGATTTTCTTAAAATAAGAAAGTCAGTTGTTGAGGTTCTTACTGGGGCGGGTATGGTATCTTCATTGCCAAAGCTAGTACGAGCTGGACCACCAAAAGTCATTCATGTTCTTTTAGATGGTCAAGTTGTAGGCACACTATCTTCTAACCTAGTCACGAAGGTTGTCTCTTATTTGCGGAGACTGAAAGTGGAGGCTCCTTCAGTGGTAAGGCATATTTACTTGTTAACAGTATTTGTTGACGGCAAACTATTTTATTAGAAGATTACTATATTTGTGAATGCTTCTCTACAGATTCCTGAAGACCTCGAAGTGGGATATGTACCTATAAGCATGGGTGGATCTTACCCTGGATTGTATTTGGCATCATGTCCTGCAAGATTCATTAGGCCGGTTAAAAATATATCTATACCTTCTGAAAATATTGAATTGATTGGACCATTCGAACAGGTAGCAAATCCTAAGAATATGATCTTCATATCCACCTTTCTTCGTATACAATCAAATTAAAAAATAAATTTCTACCAAACCAGGTTTTTATGGAAATAAGCTGTCCTGATGGAGGAAATGGAGGAAGGAATAACTCTTCCCTAGCAACTCATGAGGAAATTCATCCAACTGGGATGATAAGTGTGGTTGCTAATCTTACACCTTGGTCAGATCATAACCAAAGTCCGCGTAACATGTATCAGTGTCAGGTATAACTAGAAAATTCGATGCAAGTTTTATATGATTATGCTGCTGGAAGTTGTTTAAACTTTACGTTATACAGATGGCGAAACAAACCATGGCATACTCTACTCAAGCACTCCAATTTCGTGCCGACCAGAAGATTTACCACCTGCAGGTCAATTCTAATTTCCTATCTTACTCTTAGAAAGCTGAATGTACATGGTACACGTTTCTGTTGTTCTTTTCGTCTCTTTTAGTCCCATGTCTTGTTAATTCTTTTTGTATACTACAGACTCCTCAATCCCCTGTGGTCCGCACAAAAACATACACCACTTACAGTATTGATGAGAATCCTACAGGGACTAATGCAATAGTTGCTGTCCTCGCACATACAGGGTAGGAAACTGCTTTTGCATACAAGAGCTTGTCAATGATAAGCTTTTTCCTTTCTCTTACCCCTTTTTTCCACCTACCTGTCACACAGATTTGATATGGAAGACGCGATGATTTTGAACAAATCATCTGTGGAGCGGGGAATGTGCCATGGCCAAATATACCAGGTTCGAGTTCCCATTCTCATTTTTTGATTAAGAGTCCTGAAGATTAGCTGTATATGGTGCTTTTAACATAATCCTGGTCATATTTCCCCTGCACTTGACCACTTGTTCCTTTATTAATCCCAGAGAATAGTCTTGTAGTTGTGGCGAGAGATCTAGTATCATCATACAAATCACCGAATTTTTTTTTTTTTTTTGAATTTCCTAACCCTTGTCCTTATATTATCGTCCAGACAGAAAATATTGATCTGTCAGATCAGAATAGCCGATATGATAGTGGTCATAAAAGTTTTAGGAGGAGTACTATTGACAAATCAGATCATTCTCGTATCGACGCTGATGGGTTACCATATGTTGGACAGGTAAATAACTGCTTTCTATCCTCTCGATGTACTGTAGGTTAAATATTTAATTTTAGTTTCCTTGTCAACTTCCATAGAAACTCATTAGTTTGTTGGGTCTAACGCAGAAAATATATCCAGATGAGCCGTATTGTCGTATCTATGATGAGGTAACTGGCAAGCAAAGGCTCTTGAAGGGAAAAGGTACCGACCCTGTCATAGTTGACTTTGTCTCTGTTGACATGAAAAGCAAGAAACATCCTCAAAAGGTGAGGTTTAACTCCAACTATCGCATAGACAGATTCCAATTTGCTTAAAATCTAATTTTTCAAGCTTCTTGGCAGGCGAATATTCGTTTCCGGCATGCCAGAAACCCCATAATCGGTGACAAGTTCAGTAGTAGACATGGGCAAAAGGGAGTTTGTTCGCAATTGTGGCCTGATATTGAAATGCCTTTTAATGGAGTTACTGGAATGCGTCCAGATCTCATCATTAACCCGCATGCTTTCCCATCAAGAATGACAATTGCTATGCTTTTGGAATCTATTGCTGCTAAGGTATCCTTAGAAATTTTTCTGATTCTTAGGTTCCATTGACGCTGATGCTGTGCATTTTCTTTTTGCGTATCGTTTAACCAACTTCATATCTTTATTTTGCTGGTAAGTAAAGTATATGTAATGCTTATATCCTCGCTTTTACAGGGAGGTAGTTTGCATGGAAAGTTTGTAGATGCAACGCCGTTTCGCGATGCAGTAAAAAAAACAAACGGAGAAAAGGAGAGCAAGTCCAGTTTGCTTGTTGATGATCTTGGTTCCATGTTAAAGGAAAAAGGATTCAACTACTATGGGACCGAGACATTGTATAGTGGGTCTTTAGGAGTAGAACTGAAGTGTGAGATATTTATGGGGCCTGTTTACTACCAAAGACTGCGTCATATGGTCTCAGACAAATTCCAGGTTTTTCGACCCTTCCGGCTTCATCTCTTTTACCGTCCTGACATAAGGTCTCCAACTTGCACTTGTCTCATCTTCGTGCTACATCTGAATCATAATATTCTGGCTTGCAGGTTAGATCTACGGGTCAAGTGGATCAGCTAACTCATCAGCCAATAAAGGGAAGGAAACGAGGTGGAGGGATTCGATTTGGTGAAATGGAACGAGACTCACTGCTTGCTCATGGAGCTTCCTATCTATTACACGACAGGCTTCATACTTCTTCAGATCACCACATTGCAGATGTGTGTTCTCTATGTGGAAGCTTGCTCACATCTTCGGTTGTGAATGTTCAACAGAAGAAGCTGATTAAAGTTAATGGAAAGTTACCTCCTGGTAGAACTCCAAAGAAGGTAACTTGCCATTCTTGCGGGACAAGTAAAGGCATGGAAACAGTTGCAATGCCCTATGTGTTCAGGTACTTAGCTGCAGAGTTGGCTTCAATGAATATTAAGATGACTCTTCAGCTAAGCGATAGAGAAGGAGTAGCGGATGAAGATTTAACACCAGAGCAAGAAAAATAATCAGATCTCACAATGTACTAGTGTGTAGAAGAATATATTATTTATCAGTTTTGGTTTTGCTTCGCTAGCAAGTATATTTTCTACTGGAAAACGTAATCTATTTTTTGGTCTAAGTGAATTGTCTTAAACAAATGTGTATGATTTGTACGGATAAAACCAATGGATTTTTGATTTTCCAATACCATTAACTTGCTTAGTGACATGTAAGTTGTGATAATAAACTCTGTTATTGAGTGATTCGAAGAACATAGATCTAATTCAGTTTAGTAATTACGAAATAAGTTTGAGAGAAAAACGAGTTATTTGATTAATGAAAAATTACACAAAGTCTTGCAAATTTTACATCTAAACAACCTCTCTTTCTCCTCTCACTCACACGAAGCAAAGACTGAAGCAAAATACTGATAAAAACTTGGCTCACTTTCCGGGAACAAAGTTGGTGGCGAAGGCCCATGCGTTGTTGGTAACTGGATCGGCCAAATGGTCAGCAAGGTTCTCTATCGGTCCCTTACCAGTGACAATGGCTTGAACGAAGAATCCAAACATAGAGAACATAGCCAATCTTCCGTTTTTGAGCTCCTTCACCTTCAACTCAGCGAAGGCCTCTGGGTCGGTAGCCAAACCCAATGGGTCGAAGCTACCACCGGGGTAAAGCAAGTCCTCGGCCTCTCCCAATGGCCCATTTCCTGCGACTCTGTAGCCTTCAACGGCTCCCATCAAGATCACTTGTGTGGCCCAAATCGCCAAAATGCTCTGAGCGTGGACCAAGCTAGGGTTTCCCAAGTAATCGAGCCCTCCATCGCTGAAGATCTGCGAACCTGCCTTGAACCAAACGGCCTCTCCGAACTTGACTCCGTTCCTGGCCAAAAGCTCAGGGAAAACGCAGCCTAGGGCTCCGAGCATGGCCCACCTGCTGTGGATAACTTCTAGCTCACGGTTCCTTGCGAATGTCTCGGGGTCGGCTGAAAGTCCGGCGGTGTCCCATCCGTAGTCTCCGGGGAACTCTCCGGTAAGGTAGCTCGGTGGCTCGCCAGAGAATGGGCCCAAGTACTTGACACGGTCAGATCCGTACCATGGGCTGCCTGATGGGCCCTTAGGCTTGGCAGTGGTCTTCCTCATTGTCACACGGCCGCTACCAAGGACTTCTGATGCCGCGGGGGAAAGCTTGACGGCCTTTCCGGCGAAGGCAGGGGAGGAGAGAGCCATTGTTGAGGCGGCCATTGAGGTTGAGTGCAGCACAAAGTAAAACGTTTAAGAGTTGTTGTTGTAAGCCAAGAAATGGGTGGTTTGGCATTGATGGGATTTTCGGTATATATAATATAAAAATCTAAATAATGTCTTATCTTGAAATATCAATCTCTGAGGTTTCTATTGGCTACTCACAAATATTTTTTGGGGTTTAGATTTTTTGTTTGCTTACGTGGTTAATAGCTAAGCACTTCGCAGATTCGCAGTTGATTTGTGTTTAGATATCTTGGTGCGTTTCAGGGATTGGTGAAACACCCACTCATGACGTGACACGTATAAGAATAGATCTCTCTATCCTTTTGAAATCCTGAGAGCATCAATGTAAAACAAAACAAAAATTGGATAATTGTATAATACTTTTTATTGAACCTTTTTCTATATATGCTCTTTTTCTTATGAAGTTTTTTATTTTATAAATAATAATAACACTTGGCTAGAGATAGAATATAAGAACAAAGTAGATAAAACTATAAAATTATGTAGGGGAATGAATCAAACTTTACCTCAAAAACATGAAATTATTACCTCCTAAGCACCTTTAATTGACCAAAATATTTATCACACAAGAAGAAGAAAATAATTAATGAAATGTATATTTTTATTGGCAGCTTTATATAATAACATTAATGTATTATATCAGGAGACTCACGACGACAACATTGGAATCCACCAGATCATGGTGATGGTCATGGTCATAAAGACAGTTTCATAATCACGAGTCATGGTCATAGACTCATAGCCACAAGTCGGCTTCTCCCTAACTCTCTACAAACGGCTTCAACAAAGGCCACAATTAATAAGCCAATTCCAAATCCATCTGAACCGTAGATAGACCCAAAACCATATAATTGAACCGGATTATTCACCCAAACCCATTTCAGCCGGAGATTTGATCCAGAAGTAATTAGGAATGTGCTTACCAAATGTGGAATATATAGATGGGAAAATTTCCGGTTGCTTGAAACAAAATTTCCCTAATAATGGATCAAAATTGTTTGGAGCGCATGCTGCGGTCGGTGTGAGGTACTGAATTGACTGAGAGGAAGAGAACAGATGAACAAGCATAGTGTATATCTTAACAGCTTTTAGCTCAAAATTTAGAGTGTGCTCTAAAGCGTATGTGTGAGGTTATTAAGTGATTAAAGTGAAAGAAAAGTTGTGCTTCGTAGAAAAACTTAGTGGCCATGGTGGAATAAACAACTGTTCTAGGGCTGAGTAAAACCGTATAATTAGACATGTAATGAGAGCTTAAAGCGTTTTCTATAAAAGTGATTGTGGAGTGGATTAATGTTGTTGAATTTGAAAAAAGGTGATAAATAAGTTTGATGAGTTAGTTCATAAAATTGTTGAAGCTTACAGCATAGATAACTCGAATCATGATAAATAGATATATATATATATATAAAAAGATAATGTAGCATTGTAGCTACATGTTGATGTTCTCCAAAACGAATGATAGTGAACATGCCATATGATACTTCTTTCATGTTTTGAAAAATGGTCGATAACTTAAAACAGTGTTTCTTTGCGTTTCTATAAAAAGTAAAACTTCAGAGTTTTAAGATGATATAATATAATTCATGAGAGTTCTTTGGTTATTGGATAAAGTGACAAGGGAAACAATTCTTGTGGTAGTGATGATGAACCTACTATTGAAAATTTTGATATTCATGTGTGGGTAAATGCTAGCTTCTTATAATGTTACTTTTTATTAATTTTTCGATCATTTCATCATCAATATCTATATTTTCAAAACGTTACGTTAAGTTTTAGCTATATGGTTGCAGCAAAGATCACAAATCTCATTCTTGTCAGGAGCTAAATTCGCACAAATTTAAGTTTTCATGAAAAGAATCACGAGGGTGTTACCGCTAAAGTATTCAATGGCTCATAACTTGTGGTCACAAAAATGATTTGGCTGCAATGAAAAAATCAAAACAAATGCTGGTGGACTAGAGACTGCCACGTAAGACTACTAAGCGATAAAACCAAAATCTAAAAACCCAATGAAATGAAGAGATAAAGATTACTTCACAGATAACAAACGTTACAATATCCCTATATAATCCAAACCTACCTAACCAGTTTTAATCACTCTCACTCACAAGTTAGTCACCAAAAAAAAAAAAAAACACAAAAAGGTTTCAATGGCCGCCTCAACAATGGCTCTCTCCTCCCCTGCCTTCGCCGGAAAGGCTGTGAACCTTTCCCCCGCGGCATCAGAAGTCTTTGGAAGCGGCCGTGTGACAATGAGGAAGACTGCTGCCAAGCCAAAGGGTCCATCAGGCAGCCCATGGTACGGATCCGACCGAGTCAAGTACTTGGGTCCATTCTCCGGCGAGTCACCGAGCTACCTTACCGGAGAGTTCCCCGGAGACTACGGATGGGACACCGCCGGACTTTCAGCCGACCCCGAGACATTCGCAAGGAACCGTGAGCTAGAAGTTATCCACAGCAGGTGGGCAATGCTCGGAGCCCTAGGCTGCGTCTTCCCTGAGCTTTTGGCCAGGAACGGAGTCAAGTTCGGAGAGGCAGTTTGGTTCAAGGCTGGTTCACAGATCTTCAGCGATGGAGGGCTCGATTACTTGGGAAACCCTAGCTTGGTACACGCTCAGAGCATTTTGGCGATTTGGGCCACACAAGTGATCTTGATGGGAGCCATTGAAGGCTACAGAGTCGCGGGAAATGGGCCGTTGGGAGAGGCCGAGGACTTGCTTTACCCCGGTGGTAGCTTCGACCCATTGGGTTTGGCTACCGACCCAGAGGCCTTCGCTGAGTTGAAGGTGAAGGAGCTCAAGAACGGAAGATTGGCTATGTTCTCTATGTTTGGATTCTTCGTTCAAGCCATTGTCACTGGTAAGGGACCGATAGAGAACCTTGCTGACCATTTGGCCGATCCAGTTACCAACAACGCATGGGCCTTCGCCACCAACTTTGTTCCCGGAAAGTGAGCCAAGTTTTATCAGTTTGTAATTTGCTTTTTTTCAATCTTTTGAATTCGAGTGAGAGACAGGAGGGGAAAGAGCAGGTTTGTGTTTGTGATGGATGGTTTGAGACTTTCAATGTAAATTTGCAAGACTTTGTATGATTTGTCATTAATCAAACTGAGATTTACCCAGAATGACTCTAAACTTAGCTAATATAACTCAACTGACACCCGTTTCATTTAGTGAACTAGACTAACCCACATTTTAAGTAAAAAGACTAATTAACCTTTGTAGTTAATATTAATAACAATCATGCCATTTGCCATTTAAAAAAGAAAAAAAATAACAAAAATGTAAACAAAGAAAAAAATGTAGAGAAAAAGAAATCAAATCGACAAAAGTTTTGAGACTCTCTTCTCCGACGGTTCCACTAAAAACCCTAGAATCATCTCTAATCCTCAGCCGCCTCTGTTTGATATCGTAGTCTGCATGCCGAAATCGTGTTGATTTCGAGGATACATGGGTCATTAACTTTCCGGTGGTGGTTTGAATTACCGGTGGTGGCGTTTACGAGATCTCTAGAGACTGAATCGGTGCTTCCCTTGGTTCATCAGCATCGTTATAGGTAAGTTTCTAACATTTAAACCCCAACGAAACCCAAATCGTCGATTTTGTTTATTGAGTATTTATCTTCTCCGATGCTTTTTTGATTCCGGCGTTTAGGTGATCTTCGGCTACAAATCGCTGAGCTGTTTTGGAAGTCGGCTTCGGAACAAGGTAAACTCTTTAACAATGGGTCTAAAGCTTTTGTAATTTCTCGATGTGATGTGGAGTCTTCGAAATCGATTTTTGATATAGACTGAGACTTGATTTTTTTAAAATCTGAAACTGTTTTGCATTTTTGATTATCTAAACAAATGGTTTCTGATTACTTAAATGTTGTGTGCAGGTGCGTGTGAGGCATATGATGCCAGTCACTGAGGAAAACATGTATCCTAAGTGGAGTGACGCGGCTGACAATCAAGATGGGCTGCTTGACAACTTGCTGAAAGACATCATCCACAATCGTTTACAAAATGATGCGTAGAAACATGTTAGAGTGCAAAGAAAGAAACGTAAAGTCTGAAGAGGAGAAGACTAGGTTGTTGGATATTTACAAGATGCTGGAGAATTTGAATGGGACAGTTTCAGAGATGAGCAAGAATCTGACCAGCATAATGGATGTATTGGAGAGTAAAGTCGAATCTTTAGATCAACAGCTTATTAAGAGGTTTGAAGTTGTGGAGACAGATTTGAAGCTTCTTAAGGAGTCTAAGCCCACTGTTGTGCCCAATGATTTCGTCGCCACTTCCAACAACGTTGAATTAGATGGGGCAAATAGTAAATCAGCTGTAAGTTTATTTTGTTGTTCAAGAACAATTCAACATGATTCAACATGAACTTTCTCTTTCACTTCAACACAAAGTCGAACAGTAGCATTCTTCGTTTGGCCCAAAAAAGACTAAAACTGTCTATTATTACCAATAATTACGGGTGGTGTATCTGCTGGTAATTTCTTTGAATTTGAGATCTTGTAACTCAAAACAACTTCGACTACCCTGTTATCCAAGCCGTAGTCCTCATACACCATTGGAATGAAATCATCATAACTGGTTTGACTGTTACCTTCGAGTAAGCGACAACCTTTACTATTATCAACGACAAAAAGCCACTTCGTTTTCTCAAAGATCCATTTTCCACACACGAGAATCCCCTGATGATCCATGCCCAATTCCTTGGACTTCGATCTCACAACAATCAAAAGGAAGAAAAACAAAAAAATTATGGAACGACACTCAAATAGAAGGAGAGGGATGAAATCGTGAGGGATCAAAAAGAGAACAGAAACAATTGAAGCAACTTTGATCCCGAAAAGGAAGAAAAATAAAGGATGAAATCGTGAGACAGTGGGTAAGCGTAAAAGAAGAAGACAAAAACAAAAACCGTTTCTACAGCAAAAGCCTTAGAAGAATATTCCTTCTCTAAATATTAGGAATTTAATGCATTAAACGTCAATTATGGCAATAATTTGTATAAATCTGTCAGAGATAATAAAAGTCTGTCGTAACCAAACGCAATCAAACCGGTTTAAACATACAAGCAAACCGGCAAGATTTGGAGTTCTGTCGAATTTGAGGCTAGATATTAAATCTCATGTAACACGATTTTTTGAAATTTCAAAAACAAATCTGCCAACCAAAAGTCTGTCAACAATAAAAAGGTTATTCTAGTTAGAAACAAATCTGCCATAACATGACATGAGAAAATCTGTTATGCTTAGGGTCCAAAAAACAAAACTGTCATAACTAAAAACAAATCTGTTATCACTATGCGACTGTTTAGTAATTATATTTTTTTTAAAAAACCTGCGAGATTTGTCAACAAATAAAGAAAATCTGCGAGTACATAAAACAACTCTGTCATCATTATATATCAATTTTTTGTGTTAAAAAATCTGTTATACAACGACAGTTTTTTTAAAAAATCCTAAAATCTGTTTCCAAAATAAAGAAAAGTCTGCGGTTGGAAAACAAATCTGTGGCAGATTTATTTTATAACCATTCAAAATCTAAAAATTTTAGGAAAATCTGTGGATACAACATAAAACAAATCTGTCGCGGAAAAAAAATCTGCGGAAAAATATAAATCTGTCATTACTAAATCAAACAAAGTCTGTGGTACAAAAAAAGTCTGTCGAAGAAAGTCTGTGGTGGATCAAATAGTCTGTCGTACTAAATAAATCTGTCGCAACAGGAGCCACAGATTTAACAAAAACGAGAGTGGCAATATCGTAAATAAATTGTATTTTTTTGCCACGCTGGAATTAAATATTAATGGCATTCCTGTAATATGTTTTTTCTCTACAAAGCAAAACAGGGGCATTTTAGTCATAAATATTACCCATATAACCCATATTTTTGGTATGCCATTCTAGTAATTAAACACAAATTATGGGTCACTCTAGTAAATTTCCCTTAATCAAATAACTCATTTTTCTCTCATACTTGTCTCGTTTAAACTAAAAATGAATTGGATTTATGTTCTTGGGTTCACTGAATGAAGAGGCTATTTCTACAATTGAGCAATTTTATAGAACATAACTCGAGTTTAAGCCAATGGATACAATCAAAGACCTGTATATATCTGAATTACAGGAACAACGCCGACTGATAAGTCACAAGTTTGCTGCATTTTTCGAAGATTATTCATAGAAATGCTTATGGGAAACAAAATCCGCTAAAATTTAATCGAAATCGTAAAAAAGTTCCACACAAACGATCAAACACATTAAAAAAAAAAAAAACTATCTCAGACGAGCAAAGAAGATACATTCTTTACCTCAAAGAAGTCCTGAAGAGCGGTCATTTTAATGGCACTTGACTTCAAGCTCTTGATTCCCTCAGCAGTGGCCAATGCCCCAGCCACAGTGGTTATAACAGGGACCTTGTAGGCTAGAGCCATTTGTCTGAGCTGTCTCCCATCTTTCTGATCAAGAGCATCGCCCGAGCTTGTGATCAACATCAAATGGATCTGGCCATTAGCCACCATATCAGCAGCATGTGGTCTTCCTTCGTGCAGCTTTAGCACTCTCTCTACAGGAATGCCTTTCAGCTCCAGGAAATGAGCTGTTCCCGAGGTGGCAACGATTTTGAATCCGAGCTCGAGGAAGGACACCGCAATTTTCTCCAGGTGCTGTTTGGTCATATCATTTAAGCTGAGGAAGACTGTGCCAGTTAAAGGTAGCTTTTGACCTGCAGCGATCTGAGCCATTGCAAACGCGCTTGAGAATTCAGAGCTGATGCTCATCACTTCTCCTGTGCTTCTCATCTCTGGCCCGAGTATCACATCACATCCTTGGAACTTCTCAAACGGGAAAACAGCTTCTTTCACAGAGACATGTTTAGGGATGACTTCTTTTTCAAAGTTAAGATCTTTGAGAGATTTGCCCGACATAACCAGCGCTGCATACTTGGCAAGAGGGTGCCCAATGGCTTTTGAGACAAAAGGGACAGTACGGGAAGCTCGGGGATTGGCTTCGAGCAAGAAAACATCCCCAGATGTTGTGATTGCGTACTGACAGTTCATCAGCCCACATACATTTAGCTTCTTCGCCAGCTTAGTGGTCCATTGCCGGATAGTTTGCAAACAAGAAGATGGGATGGTTTGTGTTGGAAGCATACACGCTGAGTCACCAGAATGCACACCGGCTTGTTCGATATGCTCCATTATTCCACCAATCACCACATTTCCATAGGAATCAGTAAGGGTATCAACGTCGATCTCAATGGCGTCAGAGAGATATTTATCTACCAAAACAGGTCTCTCTGGGTCAACTTCTACCGCATTTTCCAAATAGGTTATTAGTCTACTGTCATCATAAACGATCTCCATTGCTCGTCCACCTAGAACATAAGAAGGTCTTACCACAACGGGGTAGCCTACCTCCTTTGCTATGGCTAATGCATCAGCTTCGCTCTTTGCAATGCCTCCCTTGGGCTGCTCAATTTTCAGCTCGTCGAGAATTGCATTGAACCTCTCTCTGTCTTCAGCAGCGTCAATGGAGTCAGGTGATGTACCCCAGATGCGAACAGGTCCCGCTCCGCTCAAGCTCATGGGCATGTGCTTATCCAAATAATGTTTGATCGGGAGAGCAAGTTTCAGAGGAGTTTGACCACCAAATTGCACTATTATGCCATCAGGTTTCTCAAGGTCGATAACATTGAGAACATCCTCGATTGTGAGAGGTTCAAAGTACAGCCTATCGCTTGTATCATAATCTGTGGATACTGTTTCAGGATTTGAGTTCAACATTATGGTCTCATATCCAGCATCCTGCACATAAATTAAAATAGTAGATAAGTAAGTTTAGCGTAACAAGTTGAAAAACAATGCTTAGGTTGTCTAGGGACAGACCTGCAAGGCGAAAGATGTGTGGCAACAACAGTAATCAAATTCAATCCCTTGACCAATACGGTTTGGGCCTCCACCCAAAATCAAAACCTTCTTCTTGCTGTTTGGTGCTGATTCACATTCAAAATCATATGAAGAGTACATGTATGGTGTATGTGCTTCAAACTCTGCAGCACATGTATCCACTCTCTTGTAAGATGGAACAACTCCTAGAGAAATCCGCTTGGTACGGACTTCTTCCTCGGTTGTCTTTGTAGCAAAAGAGATTTGCTTGTCACTAAATCCCCGCTTTTTGACTTCGTACAGGTCTTCTTTTGTAATCTCTGACAAGGTTCCGGACATAAGATACTGTTCCACGTCCACGAGCTCCTTAAGCTGGGTTAGAAACCATTTGTCTACCATGCTCAACTCGTAGATTTCATCAATCTTCATACCCTTTTTCATGGCAGCATATATCGCATGGATCCTGTCCGGATTTGGGACTCTAAGGCTGTATTTCAGCTGATCCCAGTCCCAATCTAGCTCTTTAATTTTTGCACAACCCCAACCCGAGAATCCACACTCCAGAGACCTCAGAGCTTTCTGGAAAGATTCTTGGAATGTACGACCGAGAGCCATAGACTCCCCGACAGATTTCATCTGGGTCGTTAGCAAGGGCTGAGATCCTGGAAACTTTTCAAATGCAAATCTAGGAATCTGCATGATAAAGAAATAGACATACATAAGCGAAATATGCATCGAGTTTATATATCCTCAGGTGGATATATGTGTGTAAATCTTCAAAGTCAAGAGCATCTCAATTCGCAACAGAAAAAATGACAAACCTTAGTCACCACATAATCGATGGAGGGTTCGAAGCTAGCAGGTGTTTTCCTGGTGATATCATTAGGAATCTGATCCAAGGTATAGCCAACAGACAACTTGGCAGCCATTTTAGCAATGGGGAACCCTGTAGCCTTGGAAGCAAGAGCAGAAGATCTCGAGACCCTAGGGTTCATCTCTATGATCATAACTTCACCATCAACCGGGTTTACAGCAAACTGCACGTTAGATCCACCACACTCAACACCAATCTCCCGTATAATCGCAATGGAATAATCCCTAAGCCGCTGATACTCTCTATCCGTTAGAGTCTGAGCAGGTGCCACAGTGATGGAATCACCAGTGTGCACACCCATAGGATCAATATTCTCAATGGAACAGATAATGACAACATTGTCAGCTAAGTCTCTCATCACCTCAAGCTCATATTCTTTCCAACCCAACAAGGATTTCTCCACAAGAACCTGACTTGTCACACTCGCAGCCAAACCCGCTTTACAAATCGACTCAAACTCCTCTTTGTTATACGCAATTCCACCACCAGTACCACCTAAAGTAAACGCAGGACGGATAATCAAAGGGAACTCACCAATTCTCTCAGCAATATCGAAACACTCATCAAGAGTGTTCCCAATCCCTGAAGGTGGAGTCTTTAGACCAATGTTCTTCATCGCCTCCTTGAACAACTCACGATCTTCAGCTTTCTTAATCGCACCAAGCTTAGCACCAATCAATTCAACACCGTATTTCTCCAAAGCACCACTCTCAGCAAGAGCAACGGCGAGGTTCAATGCGGTTTGACCACCCATGGTAGGTAACAAAGCGTCAGGCCTCTCTTTCTCAATAACCTGCTCAACGAGCTCAGGAGTCATCGGAGCAATATAAGTCCGATTAGCAGTTTCCGGGTCAGTCATGATAGTAGCAGGATTCGAATTAATGAGAATAACCTCATAACCCTCTTCTCTTAAAGCTTTACAAGCTTGAGTTCCCGAGTAATCAAACTCACAAGCTTGTCCAATCACAATCGGACCAGCACCGAGAATCATAATCTTCTTCAGATCGGTTCTTTTCCCGACTATCTCCGGAGAAAAAGGCTTGGTAGTGGTGTCGGCGAGCTCTGAGACGGGTTTGAGAGCTCGTGTGAGGGAGCTTTTCCGATTGAGACATGGGAGAAAAGTGGAGAAGGAAGAAGAAGAAGAGGCTAGCTTTGATTTAGCTCTGTAATTGATGGCAGAGCGAGAGAAGAAAGTGGAAGAAGGAGAGAAACGAGGATTGGATTTGGAAGAAGCGAAAATGGAGGAACAATTGGAAGAGAGTTCTAAGCAATGGTTTCTCATTTTTTGCTTCTTCTTCGTCTTCTACTTTGTCGTCTGTGTCGGCTCTGTAACTGGAGACTGCTGCAGAAGAGAGTGAGAGACGAGAGAGAGGGTTTTAGGGTTTCTCGGAATTTGGATTATTCCGGTTTATTTCTTTTTGTCCCTTTCAATCTTGCTGTATTCATTATGATAATCCATGTTTTCAACAACAACAAAATATTATTGGGAAAATATGATAAATGACATAAAATAAATAAAATGATAATTAACTCTTCAAAAATTTGCAAAGAGAAATCTTTATTCTTTTGCAAGAATATTCATTTCGTTATTTATAAAATTTACAAAATTTTGTCCAAATCGGTGTTAAAAGTGTGTCAAGTAAAAAGTCAACGAATTTTAAAATTAATTACCGCATTTATTTGTAGTCAATGCGGTCGCAGTTACTGCTTTTGCTCGCTCAAAATAACAGTCACATCATGTAACGTTTCCTTAAACTGCAAAGTGCAAACTTTTTATGTTTTTGCAAGTTTGATATAGTAGTAAGGGCTTTTTCTCTGTGCAACTAACTTTGACTTTGTGTTTCTCAGGTTTGTGAAGAAGATGATAATGGTGCAAATGGACAAGAAGGATCAGGGACTTGTACAAAGTTAATGTGGGATCAACAGAAGAATAAGACCGAAAAAATATAAACAAAATGATATCGCAGCCATAGCAATGACGTTGTGGAGTAGCCGTTTGTCGTCTTTGGTGGGTATGAAAACTGATTTTAATGTATTGGTAAGCTCGAAAAGTCGAACAGATACCTGAATGATGAAGGAAAAGAAGTGTAAGAAGTAATAAACAGTAAAAGCATAGAATGGTTTTACCGATGTTTTTTTTTACCAAGACGTAGATGGCTGTGGTGAGCATGAAGTTGAGCATTGGGTATTCTGGGATGATTGATAATAGCAATTTTGGCTGCCCATTTGGCACACTCGATCTGTACCACATTGTGAAGTTTCGTTATAATAAGTAATAACATATGTAAACCTTCAAGCCTTCTCGTGTATTTGTAGATCCCACTTACCTTAACCAGATGTGAAACTGTGAAATGTAGGTCTCGAGAGTTATCTTGCCGAGCCACCTAGAGTGAGATCATGGTCAAAAAGATCTGTTCACTGTGAACAAGAAGGTAACAAAAAAGAATAAGAGATTGAGAATCTTACGCAAAGAGTGTTAGGGAGAAACTCCGTAGCTGTTGTGTGCAATTTCGCAGACAGATGTAGACACTGTGTTCCAGATATAAAGCCAAAGGTCATAAATCCAGAAAGGGTATTATCTCAAGATTGATTGAGAGAGAGGGAGAGAGAGAGAGAGGTTGGTACTGACGTTATTGGAATCCAAGATGTGTAAGGATGATATTTGTTGTATGTAACCTTGTCCAGCTTGTAGATGTATTCATACCAAAGGTAACCAACCTGAACAGTTCCATGACACTGTCCATCAGAATAATCGTTGAGAAGAATATATAAACCAGAAGCCCAAAAAGAAGCCAACAACTCACGAATGAAGAAATTGCTATTATGCTTGTCTTGATTGACATCCTTCTTTTAGCATCACACTCCTCCAATTTCTCCATCCATCTCTCTACCTGAGATCACCATTCACCAATATATTTAGTTGCGTCTTTCGAGAGGGAGATATGGAAAAAATGAAAGCACCATGGTTCTAGAATTACAGTGGGATGAAAATATGCATATATCATGCCAATGATCCATATGTAGCGATCGAGTCCAGATCTGAAATGCCATTCGTGTAGACGTGGAAGGTCTGGTTTAGCTGGATCTGTGTATCCTGTATTTGTTTTAAAGACAGAATATCAATGTTAATTACCCAATTTACATTCAAGCATGCCATCCAAAATATTTTAGTACAAGACAGAACTAAAGATCAGCCACATGACAAAAGCGGTATGGAAAATGAAAGAATTTTGTTACTGACCCAGTAAGAATGCCAGAGGACTCCAGAAGATCTCAAAAACTCCAGGAATCTCCCACAAAAGGATAACCACGAGAAAGCATGAAGCAATCTTCAGAGCCATCACTGATGCTATTTCGTTATACTGACTGTAAATACCAAGGGCTCCATAGACCATCAGAGTGAATAGAGTGTGCATTGGACAAATGTAGTACAGCATATAGTCATTGTTGAGAATAATGCAACAAAACGCCACAAAAAAGTTAAGCCGCCACATCATCTGGATAAAGTAAAAGCTTTCATGAAATTCTTGAGCTTTGAAAGACATATATGCTTTCTAAAAGCATATCACATGGTTAACTGAACAAAGTATGGTGATGTAAACCAGTTAATCTGACCTGAGTGAATCGTGCAAGGGAGAAATCCTTTCGGATATAGTAATAAGAGAAGTTCCCAAAACCGGTCATCCACACATAGCCAGCGATGAAGACCCTGATTGCATTGTAAAACTCAACCGCAGCAAAATAATGATACATCAGAAATAGAACCTGCGAAGGCCCAGAGGCATGGAAATCAGTTAAGACATCTTGGTGAATGGAAAAGAAAAGACACTACGATTTAGATATGGAACAACTGAGTGAATGCAAGGAAGTAAGGGGTAAAAATGATTAAGAAAATGAAAACTACTGAATAAAGTTCGAACACAGTACCTGCATCCACCCCTTCCATTCTTCAGTCTGGTGACGATTGAGATACAGAATGGACTTTCCCGTTATTGGTGACTTGTCAGAGTGTTTCTTCAAGGACGTCATAGCTGACACTATGATGAGAAGACAGTAGAGAAAGAGGAAAAGGTCCCGGTTGTAATTCTGCCAATGGAATCCACATCAAAAAGACGGATGGTCAATTTCAAACAAAATTTGCTAACACTGATATTAGCTTCCTACACCAGAATGAACTTTGGTTCTAAACCATATTTCACAAGTATAGCTCAATACTTGTTTTTGAAATTTAACAACCCACTGAAACCGAAAAATAAATTCGTCAAAGAAGTTTGATGGAGGCACCTTTTGAGACTGTCCGAGCAAGCTAGTTCGATCACAAATATAAAAATATAAAAGAATTGCTCCAAACTCAGCCCTACAATAGAAGTAAAATGGTCACTATGGAGCCTAATTAGTAAGAATCCAATATCGCTGAAAACTAAGGAACTTACATTGCTCTCAAGGTTGCTCGATTTTCAAGCAAGAAAGAGTCCTCCAAAGTCAAAAACCTACAAGTAAACACAATGCAAATTAAGAAAGTGTAGTGACTAGAAAACACTCCACCGTAAGCAAGAAAAAAAAAGAAGCTATACCAACCTAAGCAAGTTTGTTTTGATTGATGAGCTATAAAACTTTGAAGAGACAGATCTTGGAAGACCTCCTTCCATTAAAACTGTTCCTTCATCCTCTTTATTCGTCACCATTTCCAATTCAACCAAATTCTTATCTGAATGACTGCAAATGTAGATAAAGCGAAACCACAAAACAGTTCAAAAAATAATTAAGCAAGATATCAGTAAATGAGACTCAATTAGATTCATCATCCATACACATACACTTTAGGGTGTAAAGAAGACCTCCTATACTCAAGAAATTCCGAGTATAGCCATGCTATCATAAGAGGGATAACTCCAAGTAGAAACGAAACCTGCAACAGAAAGAAAAACACAAAAAGAAGGACTAAGAACAACAATAGTAATCCAAAACAAACCACAAAAGTTCTGTTCTTTCAGCCCGATACGAAATGTAAATCTCTGCAACAAATTCAACTGCAAGATTCAATCCAAATCTCCCAAACCAAAACGTAAGTTGCTTCAAGGTGAAGAAAATACAGAGTGGCTGAGGTAAAAGCTTAGTAAGTTATTACTTATTAGTAATTGAAGACACTTGACTCAATGTTTGTAAATAAACTACACTATAGATCATTGTTCCAGCAGATCATCAGGTGGGATAATCTAATCTCTCAGTCTATTTAAAACAGCCAACTTTGATCTAAATCCAGTAAGCAAGCATGCTACATATGAAGAATGAATCAACCACATTCATCTAAAGGAGAAAGATGGAGAGAGTCCTAAATCACATTAAGCAACAACAAGCCAATTCAATCAAAATCTCAATATTAAGAAGCCAATCGAAGGTGAAAACAGCGAAGATTATGCGACAGTGTACCTGACCGGGCGTAATTGGCTGTGAAACCACCATATCTACTGGATCCATAAAGGAATACCCAGGAGCTTCAAATACTAGATACTGCAATATACACTCCAATTGCAATTAGATTCGACCTAGGAATACAACAGCAGGGCATGAAGAGAGAGAGATAGAGCTAACTGGGACTGTTGCAATAGAGAAGAAGAGATCTGAAGTGATTAGTGAAGATTGAAGAAGCTATTGCTTCAAGGAAGAAGAAAATGGCGGACGCGACGTCGTTTTCATCAAATTCACTCGTACGGTTGTAAGTTGTTGGTTTGGCAATGGCCTCTCCTCTCTCTCTCTCTGTTAAATTATTAATTACTTAATAGTTACTACTCCTAATTAAGTAATTATATAGTTAATCTGAGGTTTTTTTTTTTTTTTTATTATTATGAACAATTTTTACAGCTCTCATTGCACAAAATTTTCTAATTGCAATGCCTTTGCCTATAGAAATGCAGGAACATTAACGATAAATGATATACTATGAATGACAGAGGAATTAAAAACTGGTCCGAAGGATTTTCGATCGGACTATGAATGTCCGACGAATTCTCGACTCAATAAACATTAGCTCACGTATGCATGTTCAATCATTCTAGTCGAGAGATCTTAATAAAAATTTAATTCGAGAGAATTTAGGATTGATTACTTAAAAAAGAAATGCATTTCAGTTTGGTTTTAAACTTAACAAAATATGCCTATGTATCTAAAGAGGAAAAATAAAACACAAAAACAATAGAGTAGATTTGCCTATAGATAAACAAACGTAGTGGACCTTTCTGTTTCTGGTAGGTGAGGGATAAGTTGGTACTAAACATCATTGTTCATATATTTGTTAGGTGTTAATGAAGCATTTGGAAAATTTAGCATCTATCTTTGTTGTTGATAAATTGATAGCTTTTTTTGGTCAAAAATTGAAATGTCAAACGTGTAGATGGTTGATGACATTTAATGTCTTTTATTGGGTTTCATTTCGTCAACCAAACCCACTCCTTGGGCCCAAAGGTTTCCCATTATCTTAAACCCTAAAGGACCACTAGTAAGTGGAAACAAACACTTGGTCGAATGCGCATCTTCTCTACCTTGGTCTTTCCTCGCAGACAACAACAAATCTTCAATCTTCGTCAATTCCAAACCACCACAATCCGTCGCAACCCAATCTCCATCGCTCCGATCCAGATTCCAATGGACGCTGAACAATCTCTCCGTCAATCTCTTTCCGAGAAATCCTCCTCCGTCGAAGCTCAGGGTAACGCCGTCAGAGCTCTCAAGGCTTCCCGTGCAGCTAAACCAGAGATCGATGCCGCCATTGAGCAACTAAACAAATTGAAGCTCGAGAAATCCGCCGTCGAGAAGGAGCTTCAATCTATTATCAGTAGCTCCGGTAATGGTTCGCTTAACCGTGAGGCTTTTCGAAAAGCTGTAGTCAACACTCTCGAGCGGCGTTTGTTCTATATTCCTTCGTTTAAGATCTACAGTGGCGTCGCTGGACTTTTTGATTATGGTCCTCCTGGCTGTGCTATTAAATCCAATGTCTTGAGCTTTTGGCGTCAAGTAAGTAACACTATTCACATTTCTCTGTAGGATTTAGAATGTTGAAATTGAGTTAGGTTTGTTACTATATGTGATTGATTTGAGTAGATATTAAGTCAAATTTGATTCATAGAGTAGAAATTGTGTTAGGTTTGTTCTTATACGGGATTTGATTTGCTTCTGTTTGCAGCATTTCATTCTTGAGGAGAACATGCTAGAAGTTGATTGTCCATGTGTAACACCAGAGGTTGTTCTCAAGGCATCTGGGCATGTTGATAAGTTCACTGATCTTATGGTTAAGGATGAGAAAACTGGAACATGTTACCGTGCGGATCACTTGCTCAAGGATTATTGCACTGAGAAGCTGGAGAAAGATCTTACCATCTCTGCTGAAAAAGCTGCTGAATTGAAGGATGTTCTTGCTGTTATGGAAGATTTTTCTCCTGAACAGCTAGGTGCCAAGATAAAGGAGTACGGGATCACTGCTCCAGACACGAAGAATCCACTTTCTGATCCTTACCCCTTTAACTTGATGTTTCAAACATCCATTGGCCCATCTGGTTTGATTCCTGGGTGAGTGTCTATCAGGTTATAATCGTTTCTGAGCTACCTTCTTTCCTGAGTTTTGTTATCAAATTACTCCCTTTTGTTTGTGTTTCAGTTACATGCGTCCTGAAACTGCTCAAGGCATTTTTGTGAACTTTAAGGATTTGTACTATTACAATGGGAAGAAACTTCCTTTTGCCGCGGCTCAAATTGGTCAAGCCTTTAGAAATGAGGTAATTATTGCTTTGCTTGATATATGGGATTTATTCACCTCAATCTCTTTAAGAAATTCTTCTCTATTATGTATGGGTTTTAATAAGTAGCATATTACTCGCAGATATCTCCTCGACAAGGGCTTCTTAGAGTTCGTGAATTCACACTGGCAGAAATTGAGCACTTCGTTGATCCTGAGAATAAGTCACATCCTAAGTTCTCTGATGTAGCAAAATTGGAATTCCTTATGTTCCCAAGGGAAGAACAAATGTCTGGCCAATCTGCAAAAAAGCTTTGCCTCGGTGAAGCTGTTGCCAAGGTTAGTATTTTTAATCACATTCGCCTAAGCACTCGCACACACAATCTTATTGATGCCTGCAACTGAAAACCTATTCGTGTAGGGTACTGTGAACAATGAAACTCTAGGGTACTTCATTGGGAGAGTGTATCTTTTCCTTACTCGTCTTGGCATAGACAAGGAACGGCTGCGCTTCCGTCAGCATCTAGCAAATGAAATGGCCCACTATGCAGCAGATTGTTGGGATGCTGAAATTGAGAGTTCATATGGGTGGATTGAATGTGTTGGGATTGCAGATAGATCTGCATATGACTTACGTGCTCACTCTGTAAGAACCTCACCATTACTTCTATTTTCATCATTTTGTTTGACAGCAAGATAATTAATGATCAAAACCCGTTAGTATTCCTATTTAAATTAACTAAAGTATATTGTGGATACAGGACAAAAGTGGCGTTCCTCTAGTGGCTGAAGAGAAATTTGCAGAACCTAAAGAAGTAGAGGTATTTTAATGAACAAATTCGTTAGTCTCTGTCTTCATAACATGTCCTTAATATGGTCATCTTTTATTTCAGAAACTTGTGATAACTCCTGTGAAGAAAGAACTGGGTCTTGCATTCAAGGGAAATCAAAAGAATGTGGTTGAATCTTTGGAGGTTGAACTCTATTGTTTTACTGAATAGCTTCTTTTTTTCATGGTACTGGTTTAGAATAAATAGCATGCTTCGTGTAATGGTTTGTTAGGCGATGAATGAAGAAGAAGCTATGGAGATGAAAGCAAGCCTGGAATCCAAAGGGGAAGTGGAGTTTTACGTGTGTACCCTAAATAAAACCGTGAGCATCAAGAAGAACATGGTGTCTATATCAAAGGAGAAGAAGAAAGAGCACCAGCGGGTTTTCACTCCATCAGTGATTGAACCATCGTTTGGCATTGGTCGGATCATATATTGTCTGTATGAGCATTGTTTCAGCACTAGGCCGAGCAAAGCCGGGGATGAACAGTTGAACTTGTTCCGTTTCCCTCCTCTTGTAGCTCCCATCAAGTGCACTGTTTTCCCGCTTGTTCAGAACCAACAATTCGAGGAAGCAGCCAAAGTTATTTCCAAGGAACTCGCTTCTGTCGGTATCTCCCATAAGATTGACATCACTGGTACGTAAAAACAACTTGAGAATTGAAGTTTTTTGAATATGCAAACCAAGTAAAGATTTGTTATGATTGTGTGTGAACAGGTACATCGATAGGGAAGAGATATGCGAGAACCGATGAGCTTGGAGTGCCATTTGCAATAACAGTGGACTCAGATACATCAGTCACAATTAGGGAAAGAGACAGCAAAGATCAAGTCCGAGTCAGCTTGAAGGAGGCAGCTTCTGTTGTGAGTTCAGTCTCAGAGGGGAAAATGATGTGGCAAGACGTCTGGGCAAGCTTTCCTCACCACTCTTCTGCTGCTGCAGACGAGTAGCTAGCTCCTTGTTTTTTAAAATGAAAAACCAAAGTTTAAAAAATATTTTTGGTGTAAAATCGTTTGTTGAATCTGCTCATTTTTAATGTTTTGTTTCTAAGTGTCTCTTAAAAGGTCGATACCAGATTTGGCAAACAGAAGTGGGTATAAACTATCTGTTATAAATTTCCTCCTCTCTACTGCTAATTTGAACTATTTACTTACTAAATTTTGGTCACAAATCAGTCCTCCACCCAGTTATGGTCTGAATTGTTTGTGTTTGCATTAAAAAAAAAGAAGTTAGAGAGGCAAAGAGTTCACGGATCCTTGTGCATTTGGTAGCGCCATCTTGCATATAGTATATTGATTATTTCAGGTTTTAGTTTCAATGGAGGTACAATTTATGACCTTGAGGGCCATGTTGCCACAATTATTTCTATTTAGTTATATTAAATTACTCTCTCTGTTCCTTATTATTGTATTTTCTAAGATTTTTTTTTGCTATTGATGAATATTAAACTTCAAGAAAAATAATTGAATACTATTGGTTTAGTTTTATAGAAAATAGTAAATCACAAAAAATAATACATTTATAATCAACTTTTAATGTATGAAAATCCTACAAAATACATAATAAGGAAAATAGGGAGTAACGCAATAATATTATATTAAAGAAAACTGAGATTTTAAAAGTTCACTTTTTTTTTTGGTTAACATGTTGGTATTTTGATGAAATCATGTCTAATTATTATTTTCTTCCCTTAAATATAGACTTCATATCTTCATTATTTTCCTCCATAACATATCTCATATTTGCTTAATTGTGATAAAGTATAACTCTTTCATTTTATTCTTTTTAAAATTGATTGCATTAATAATTATTGCTATTAAAATTAAGATTATTAATATTTATGATTTTATTATTGTTATTTCTATAACTAAATACAAATGACTATTTTAAGATGTAATTTGATATATTTAAAATATATTAATGATGGGTATCTCACCAATAAAAAAATTATTTGGTAAAGAGATTTTTAACTTGAATTAAATTAAATATACTAACTTTTTAATGACCATGGGGATGCCCTAAAGTTTCCTCAATTTAAACGCGGGTGATTTACTATATAATCAGAACATTATATTCTTCAGTAAGCCCTAAACCCTAGCCAGCTCCTTCACTACGATCCAGATTCCGATGGTCGCTACCGAGCAACCTCTTCGTCAGTCGTTCCCGGAGAAATCCTCGGTCGTCGACGTCCAGGGAAACACCGTCGAACCCCTCAAGGTTGAGAAATCGTCGGCTGTCGAGTCCCCCCTCAGCTCCGGAAACGGTTCACATAACCCTGAAGCTTTCCGACAAGCCTTGAACAAGGTTCTCTACGGGCGTTCCTTCTACATCCCTTCTTTCGATATACACCGTGGCGTCTCCGGACTTTTCGATTACGGTCCTCCTGGATTCAATGTTAAATCAAATATTCTGAAATTATGGCGTGAAGTAAGGATCATTCACATATATCTGCACTATTCGATCGTTAGGTTAAGATTTTGTTAGCTGTTTTATTTACATGATTGATTGATTTTCTTATGTTTATAGCATTTTGTTCGTGAGGAGAAGATGCTGGAAATTGAATGCACATGTGTGACACCAGAGGTTGTTCTCAAGGCATCTGGTCATGTTGATAAGTTCACTGATGTCATGGTCAAGGATGTGACTACTGGAGCACCTTACCGTGCCGACCACTTGGTCAAAGATTATTGCAACGAGAAGCTGGAGAAAGATGTTACCATCTCTGCTGAAAAAGCTGCTGAATTGAAGGATCTTCTCGTTGTTTTGGAAAATTTCTCCATTGAAGATCTTGGTATGAAGATTAAAGAGTATGGGATCACTGCTCCAGACACTAAGAATCCACTCTCTGATCCTTACCCGTTCAACTTGATGTTTAAAACATCCATAGGCCCGTCTGGTCAGCATACTGGGTGAGTGTTTTTTCACGTTAGAATCGTTCCTGTTCCTTAGATTCTTTTATCAAGTTTCTTTCTTTGTGTGTTTCAGTTACATGCGTCCTGAAACGGCACAAGGCATTTTTTGCAACTTTAATGAGTTGTATAGATATAATGGGAAGAAACTTCCCTTTGCTGCGGTTCAAGTTGGTCAAGCCTTCAGGAACGAGGTGATTGATTGATTATCCTTGAGTTTTCTATACTATGCTTTGCTTGATATATTGGGTATGTTTTATCTCTATCGTTTAAATAATTGTTTACACTCATGTAGATATCTCCACGTCAAGGGCCTCTTAGAGTTCGTGAATTCACTCTGGCAGAAATTGAGCACTTTGTCCACCCTGAGAATAAGTCACATCCTAAATTCTCACGTGTAGCAAAACTGGAATTCCTTATGTTTCCAAGAGAGGAGCAAGTGTCTGGCCAATCTGCAAAAAAACTTTGCCTTGGCGAAGCTGTTGCCAAGGTCAGTGTTTATAGTCGTATTCGCCTACTTATTTCTACTCTGCACTCGCATTTTTAACTAAAAATTGTATTGATGCTTACATGTGAAAATATATATGTTCAAATAGGGAACTGTGAACAACGAAACTCTAGGCTACTTCATTGGGAGAGTGTATCTTTTCCTTACCCGTCTTGGCATAGACAAGGATCGGTTGCGTTTCCGCCAGCATCTAGCAAATGAAATGGCCCACTATGCAGTAGATTGCTGGGATGCTGAAATTGAGACTTCATATGGGTGGATTGAATGTGTTGGTATTGCAGATAGGGCTGCATACGACTTACTTGCTCATTCCGTAAGAAACTTACCTTTTATCTCTATTTCTATTCATTTTGTTTGACACCCATAGGCATTCCTTTTTAAATTTACTAATATAGATTGTGGATTGTTGTATGGCAGGAAAAAACTGGCGTTGCTCTTGTAGCTGAAGAGAAATATGCACAACCTAAAGAACTAGAGGTAATGTAATCAACATTTTTCATCTCTGTCTGTACATCTTGTCCTTAATATGGTTATCTTTTTATTTCAGAAACTTGTGATAACTCCTGTGACGAAAGAACTGGGTCCTGCATTCAAGGGAAATCAAAAGAATGTGGTTGAAGCTTTGGAGGTAGACTGACTGAAGTCTTTTGTTGTATTGAATAGCTTCATTGTCTCATTGTGAGGGTTTATGATAAATAATATGCTTTTTATAATGTTTTGTTAGGCGATGAATGAGGAAGAAGCTATGAAGATGAAGGCAACCTTGGAATCTAAAGGGGAAGTGGAGTATTACGTGTGTACCCTTGAGAAAAACGTGACCATCAAGAAGAATATGGTGTCAATCTCAAAGGAGAAGAAGAAAGTGTACCAGGGGTCTTTCACTCCGTCAGTGATTGAACCATCGTTTGGGATTGGTCGGATCGTGTATTGTCTGTGCGAGCATTGTTTCAGCACAATGCCAAGCAAAGCAGGGGATGAACAGTTGAACGTGTTCCGTTTCCCTCCTCTTGTTGCTCCCAAGATGTGCATGGTTTTCCCGCTTGTGAAAAACCAACAATTCGAGGAGACAACCAGAGTCATTTCCGAGGAACTCACTTCTTGTCGCATCGATCACGATATTGACATCAAAGGTACGTCAAACAAATTGAAAATTGGAAGTTGTTAAAATTTTAAAAAGTAGCAACCGAGTAAAGATTTTTGTGTATGTGAACAGGTATATCGATAGGTAAGAGATACGTGAAATCTGATGAGCTTGGAGTGCCATTTGCAATAACAGTGGACTCAGAAACATCAGTAACAATCAGAGAAAGAGACAGCAAAGATCAAGTCCGAGTCAGCTTGAAAGAGGCAGCTTCCGTCTTGACCTCCATGGCTGAGGAGAAGATGACATGGCAAGACGTCTGGGCAAGCTTCCCGCACCACTCTTCTCACTCTTCTCCTGCTGCAGACGAGTAGCTAGCTCTTTCAATCACCATGGCCTAAATTATGAAGGTCTTTCTTGTTAATGAGATTTATCTTTAAACAATTAACCATCCTTGTCGATATATAGCTATATACTATGGCTCATAGGAATCTTTACCTACATCTCTTTGTCTCTTAAAACTTTTCTAGCTTTAACAATGGCTTAGTGTAATCTGGTGTCACAACTTTAGTGTCTTTTTCTTTGAAGTGTAACAAAAAAAAGCTCGATACCAGATTTGTAAAACAGAATTGGTTATCAGTTAATCAATGTTTCTATTAGAGGTTACAAGAAGCCTAAATCTAATGAAGCCCATTTGTGAGCAATCAAAGATCTCATAAGAATACTACTCTACTTGCTTCAAATCCTAAATACATGGGCTTCATTAGGCTTGGGCTTGTGTTTCTTGTGGCCTCTAATACTGTATATGTTAGTTATGATAATCTTTTATCGGAGAAAATGACGAGAATATTTTATCGTCAGCAAGAAAAAAAATTGGATTGAGGGAACTGATTTTGGAGCAAGTCGTTTTCGTTAATATAATATAGTCAACAATTTCCGCAACGAAAAAAAAAAACTGAGACTTTTATCTAAAGGCAAACTTAGACATCAGTTTTTTTTTTTTTTCTTTTGATAAGCAATTTTTTTTTTTTTAGACATCTGCTAGCAATTTTTTTTTGAACAATAACAGATCACAGATGTAATCATTTTCAGCTTTCCATATGTAATAACCACATCATATCATCATATATACCCAATTATACAAAATACTCTAATTTCGAAGAGGCCAAAATGTAAAATACTCTAATTTAACTCTTTTAATTAAGGATCAAGATTACAAATAATTAGTAGTAGTTTGTCAGTGAAGAAATATATAAATTAACATGCATATATAGATATTATTAATAAATACATTCCTAAGAATCTACTTACATACATATAGTACTAATGATTTATGCTTATATAATGCAACCATAAAGATACGATCTATAGTACGTACGTAACGTACCCTCTCTCAAGATTCGTGCTTGGAGAACATTGAAGGAAGAATGTCCTGAAGAAGACCATAGTCAACAACTGGTTGATTATTATTAAAATTGTAGCTAGAGGTCCCATGACCATGTTCGTACGACATAGATCCCACCGATTGATAATTGGCCAGAGGATGTTTCATCATGAGAAGCTCTTGATGGTGACGAGGGAAGTTATGGAGGAAACCGCCTCCACCACCACGGTGGCCTAGTAGATGTTCAGCGGCCACGGTTCCTCTCAACGTCGATGGGATCGGATGGTTGTGTTTTCCTTCGTAGGTTGTAATTACGATCGACGGATCTTGAAATGATCTCTCTACACGTTTTTTCACGTTACACTTCTGTGTTGTGCACCTATAGTAACTCCTGAAAACGTATATAGTAAACTCTTAGATATATATTATGATATTTATGATACATACTTGTAACTTATAGATACATGGACAAGTATATATAAATGTGTGGATTTGAATAGAGTGTAGTGATCGAGGAAGTGAACCTTGGATAAGGACTGTTCTTGACGGCCTTTTGTCCATATTTTCTCCATCTATAACCATCTTCAAGATGATCAATCTCGCTTTTTGTCATAAATGCAACTCTAGCTTCTCTCTCTTTCTTCTCTCCTTTCTTTTTACCTTGTTTTGTCCTGACCATACTCATCCATCAAAAGCATATTAATCTCTAGGGTTTTAACGATCTAAAACTTTTAGTTATTTTGTCAAGTGATTGTTGATTTTTATAAGCTTCATATTATATCGTCTGAATTTGGTTCAGGAAATCTAGTTACCCATGGGGAACTCTGAACAAAAATATGCGAGGAACTCTGAAAGAAATATAAAAGGTGGAAAAAGAACTCACAATTGCTTGGAGCTTTTACCAACACCATCTTGGTCGCCTTCATTATCCTCCATTCGGTCACTCTTATCGTTAGGGTTCTCTTTAAGCTCGGCTTCATTGGAAGAAGATGAGACCACTGGAGAATTTGAATTGAGATTTAAGTAAGGGTTGTTTACTATATGGCCCATATTGGACGGTGAAACCGGTTGAAAAGGGGAACTATAAGGTGGGAATTTGAAGACCTTCTCTAGTGAGTTATAATCCGTTAGTAATGAGCTTTGTAAGCAATCACTTAAGCTAGTGAATGATACTTCTTCTAAATATGTGTTCTTCTGCTCAACATGATGATCATCCATTGTAGAAGAGGAAAAAGAGAAGAAATGGAATAGAGTTGTTTCTTCAAACTTAGGTGTTAGGTTATATGTGGAGGACTTTGGGTGATCAAGTCTTATAAATACAAGTCCATTCAGCTTTACTTTAATACTTCGATGGTCTTTTGTTCAGAATATTCAATTAAGGTCTTAATTAAATCATTTTGGAGCGATATCATTTGCGAAAAATACATATGTCCATTACTTATGTTTGGTCTGTAAAATCAATGAACATTAATCCCATATATATACCGATTGATTATAAATAGAGTAACTAATATTTTTTATGTACAAATAAAACTATACGTCGTCTTTTACTTTATAACATGGAATTTCTAACATATAAGTTCAAGATGAATATTCTTTTTAAGTTCACTCAATTTGAACCAATCTAATCTCGCGTTTGGATTATAGCTAAATACTCATTTGGATTTATTGTGGTCTAATACCACAACAATCGTTCTTAAAATAAAAATTCTTTCTCTAACCGAAATATTAATTATGAAATGTAATTTGAAATTAGTCTCTCTAAATGTGAAATACAAACTATGTAGTTTGAAAGAATTCAAGAGGGAGATATTGGAAGGGTCATAATCTTATTAGAAGACTTTAATAGGTATAAATTGTTAAAATATATTTGTATGTATGTGAAAAAGAAAGGTTTGACAATTTCAACTACAGATTAATTATAGCTAAAGAGATATTGAACAAAAAGTGGTTTCTACAAAGGAATATTTCTCTCTAATCCTATCTACCATAACCACACCATGCTTTCTTAATAAAGTATGACACTATTAGAATTCACAATTCTTTTTTTTTTGTTTCTTTTCTTTTCGTTCATTTGTTTTGTCTTGTAAACATACATTTGGTTGAGACGATGAATAGCTTTCTTAAAAGTATTACACTATTAGAATTCACATGGAGATTAGCGCTATGAATACGGTCTTGAGTCTTGACAAAACGTAAAAATAAAATAGAAAAACGGTTGGAAAACATACGTACATCCTCTTAGATATGTAATATGTCATAGTAGATATGATCATCACCATGAATATCATGGATTTTACATAACAAATTTGAACAGCCATCATGCCCTTTAATAACGATATGTATAGACAATATCAGAAATCGAGGTCTATGTGAATGCAATAATGATTAGGTTTTAAAAGTTTGTGTACGTAGAAGTCCTACCGAGGAAAATTAAAAATAAAGATAAAATAGAGGTCAAATGTATAAAGCTATGTAGACATTATACATCTACTTCCAACATCTTTGCACTCGTCAAAAGAAAACTTTCTTGGCGAATCATATATTAATATGCATATACACAAAACGAAAGAAAAGTTAACAAAAGTCTCCATTTTGCATCTCTCTAGAATAACTTTTGGTTGATACAAATAACCTCCATAAAAAAGCTAACTAATTCTTTCTTTCTTGTTTAAATAAGGGTTTTAATTAGATATACTCCTTTCTTTGGAGCTACATTATTGTTGTTGATTCAAAGTCAACGAAGACTAGTTGTTTTTGTGAACAGTCAACGTCCTTCAAAGAAATGACTTCACTTTCTTTAGCTTTATATTTAAGATAAGCCTAAACATTAACAAATAACCTTATCATGAGACGTCGAAAAAGAATCTTGAGAAATAAATATACAAAAAAAAAAATACACAATGATTGGATCTAAACATTTTCACCTAAGCATTATTTGAACTTGGGAAAACATAAATATTATATGAGTGAATCGAGTTTGGGTATTTGGAGCATTTTGTCTGCACCTATACGGCTATACTTAACCATATGATTGCATTTTTAATGTTAGAAACATAAAAGGTAAATAAGAGACGTCTTTGACCATTAGGGTTGCCAAGGGGATAAGAGAATAAAGAGAAAGTTGTGTTCTATTGACATTAAGAAGAGAGTATATATACATCTTACACATGAAACCCTAAACATACTTAGGGAAAATTAACATAATAGCCTAAGTATAATATAATTACATTATAGGTCCCTAATACTCCCCCTCAAGTTGGAGCATGAAGATTATACATGCCCAACTTGCGCCGTAGATAAGCAAATTGTTGAGAACCCAAAGCCTTAGTAAAGATATCCGCTGGTTGCTCTGTAGTGTTAAGATGTGCAGTAACCAGTGAGCCATTCTGAATTTCATCCCGAATGAAGTGACAATCCCTCTCAATATGCTTCGTCCGCTCATGAAAAACTGGATTAGCAGCAATATGTAAGGCTGCCTTATTGTCACAAAACAAACGCATCGCCTGCGGATGAGTCACTCCAAAACATCCCAAAAGCTCACGATCCCATTTCAACTCACGAGCAGTAAAACTCATCGCACGATATTCAGCTTCTGCGGAAGAAAATGACACCACATCTTGCTTCTTTGTCTTCCAAGCAATCGGAGAATCACCCAGCATAACAATAAAGCCCGTAACCGATCTCCGAGAGAGGGAACATGTAGAAAAATCTGAATCACAATAAGCTGTCAATTGTAAATCAGAATCAGCACTCAACACAATACCTTGACCCGGAGAACCTTTAAGATATCTCACAACCCGTATGACTGCAGCCCAATGTTTGGCACGAGGTTGGTGCATAAATTGAGCCAACATATGCACAACATATGACAATTCTGGTCGAGTAAAAGTAAGATATACTAAACGCCCAACAAGCCTTCTATACTTCTCGACATCCTCATAAAACTCTCCTTCATCATCAGGCAACTTATGATTTTGCTCAAGTGGAGTAGACACTGGTTGACATCCCAACAACCCACATTCAGTTACAATGTCCAACGCATACTTCCTTTGTGACAAGTAAAAGCCATCAGAAGACCGAGATACTTCAATGCCCAAAAAATATTTCATAACCCCCAAGTCCTTCATATGAAAGCATTCACTAAGATATCCCTTAAACTCCTGAATACCTTTAAGATCATTTCCCCCAATCAATAAATCATCAACATAGACCAACACAAAGAGCTGCAAAGATCCACGCACCAAGGTAAACAAAGAGTAATCTGCTACTTGTTGTTCAAAGCCATAGCCTTTGAGTGCGTTTGCAAGCTTAGCGAACCAACATCGTGGAGCTTGACGCAAGCCATAAAGAGATTTCTTCAGCCTACAAACTTTCGATTTATCTTGAGACACGAATCCTGGTGGTAATCTCATATAAACCTCTTCCTCAAGATCCCCATGAAGAAACGCATTATGAACATCCATCTGATGTACTGCCCATCCTTTGACAGCTGCAATCTTAAGAAATTCTCTGATAGTTGTCATCTTCACGACCGGAACAAATGTCTCATCAAAATCCAAACCTTCAACTTGTCTGTTACCCATAGCTACCAATCTAGCTTTGTAACGCTCAATTTCACCATTCGACTTATACTTGATTGTAAAAATCCAATGACTACCAATAGCCTTCTTTCCTGGTGGTAGATCAGTAATGTCCCAAGTATCATTTGCTTCTAAAGCATTCACTTCTCCAGACATCGCATTACACCATTTCTCATCCTTAACTGCTTCTGAATATGACTTAGGAACCGAGACAGCAGTAATAGCAGCCAGAAACGCTCTCTGTGAATCAGAAAATCGGTTACAATTCACATAATTTGCAATGGGATATAGAACCGTACCTGTACCAGAGGACACTGATTGAGAGGAGGCGGGTGAGAGTGTGGGTTGATCGGATGAGCACCGTGTAGTGTGTAAAACATAGTCATTGAGATGACTCGGAAGTTTCTTTTCCCTTTCGCTTTGACGAACTTTAATTACTGTCCCTTTCAACTTATCATCACCCGATTTCTCAGCACTCCCCCTTTCGTCTAAAGCAGTAGTCAATGTATTTTCATTATCCGCAGACCCCAAAAGTTCACCAGTCGACATACCAGGTAAGGGATCGATCGATCCCGGAGGCGGATCGATCGATCCGTCCTTCTCCGGACCCTTTGGTCGTTCCTCTGGATCGATCGATCCATGTGAGTGATCGATCGTTCGCTGAGCTTCTGGAATGTCACCGTCGCGTCTTTCTTGCGATGGATCGATCGATCCAGGAGGCGGATCGATCGATCCGATAGTCTCTGGGAAAAACTGCTCGTCGTCGTCATGGACTGGATCGATCGATCCCTGAGGTGGATCGATCGATCGCTGCTCCTCCTGCTGAAATGGGAATATGTCTTCCTGAAACACCACATCCCGAGATACAAAGAATTCAGACTTCTCTAAGTCATATAGACGCCATCCCTTTTGACCAAATGGATAACCCATAAACATACAACGTCGACTCCGTTCCCCAAACTTATCCTTATCACGTAAGACATTGCGAGCAAAACATAAGCTACCAAAGACTCGCAAGGTGGTAAAATTAGGCGCCACACCATACAACATCTCATAAGGTGTCTTTCCATCAAGAACTGCAGTTGGAGTACGATTAATCAAGTGACACGCAGTAAGAACACATTCTCCCCAAAACTTACGTGGTAGTGTAGCTTGAAACATCAAAGATCGAGCCACATTTAAGATATGTCTATGCTTCCTCTCTACTCTACCATTCTGTTGAGGAGTATAAACACACGAAGTCTGATGTATAATTCCTTCCTCCAAAAAATATGATCTGAGACCCATAAATTCACCTCCATTGTCACTCCGTACAACTTTCACCTTCTTGTCAAATTGACGCTCTACCATCTTGAAAAAATTCTTAAGAGTCACAGCAACTTCACTCTTCTCACGCAACAAATATACCCAAACAGCTCTTGAATAGTCATCAACTATTGTCAAGAAATATGCAGCCCCCGTAGTAGACAAAACCCGATAAGCACCCCAAAC